TAAAGAAACCAACAAAGTCTGAGCAGGAAATATAAGAAGAAATCCACACCTGTGTATCCCATAATGAATGCAAATAATAAAACTATATCCCAAATAAAAGAAGGGAAAGTGTCTTAAAAGCAGTCACACGAAAAAGAAAAACAGCTACACTGATGTCTGACTTGTTATCAGTAGCAATGCAAATTGGAAGACAGAATATTTTTTGTTGAGAGAAAATTGTAAACTAAGACAAGTACATGTAAACCCAGCAAAAATATCCTTTAAGAAAAAGGGTTAAATAAAAACATTATAAGGACAAACTAAAACTGTAGGCAGTTGCCACCAGTTAACCCTCACTCAAGGATATTCTAAAGTATGTACTACAGACAGAAAATCTCTTGCATATGAGATGCAAGAATAAACATCATTCACTGTCATCTTCTGAGGTTTAAATATATATATATATATATATATGTTATATATATATAACACATAAGATATATATAATACATAAGATAATATATATAATATAAAGATAATAGCTAAAGTAGGGGGTAGGGAGATGTGAATAAAAGTGAAGTATTTTTGCCCTGTTCTGTAAGAGGCAAGGATACTGATCAATTAAAACATGTTTAATTTCTAGGAGTAACCACTTAACAGAAACTGAGGGCGTAATTTAGAAATGACTCCAGAAAAAGAATGGAATGATAAAAAAAAGTAGTCAAAAAGAATGGATGCCTAGCATACTAACTTGCTGCCTTTCTTCTTTTCTATTACATGTATTTAAGACTATGCTCAAATATTGCTACGGCTGCACTTCACAAGTTCTGATGAATGTTATTTTCCTTATTGTTCAGTTCAAAATATTTTATATTAGGCAGCCAGTTGGCTCGGTTGGTTAGAATGCAGGCTCATAACACCAAGGTTGCCGGTTCGATTCCTACATGGGCCACTGAGCTGCGCCCTCCACAACTAGATTGAAGACAACTACTTGACTTGGAGCTAATGGGTCCTGGAAAAACACACTGTTCCCCAATAAAATTTCTTTTAAAAAAAAACAAAAACATATATTTTCTATTATTTTAAAAAATTTCAGCCCATGAGTTATTAACAAGTACAATTTCATAATTTTCAAATATAGGAATTTTATAGTTATCTTTTTGTGGCTGATTCAGTTTAGACACGTTGTGGTCAGAGAACATGATTATATGATTTAAAATTTATTGAGACTTATTTTATGGCCTAGTACAGGGGTTGGCAGATACAGTTTGTGGGCTAAATGTAGCCCACAGTCTGTTTTTGTACCAACAAGCTAAGAATGGTATTCACATTTTAAAGGGTTGTGAAATGAAGGAAGAAAGGAAGGAAGAGAAGGGAGGGAAAGAGAGAGGGAGGAAGGGACAGAGAAAGAGAGAGGGAGGGAGGGAAGAGGGAGAGAGAGGGAAAGAGAGAGAGAGAGAGAGAAATATTTACTATCTGGTCTGTCCCGAAGTTTGCCAATCCCTAACCTAGTATATGGTCAGTTAAAAGAAATGTTTTATTAGTGCTTGAAGACAATATTCTGCATTGAGTGTTACGTTTTTTATACACTTTAGATAGTTTGCTAATTTTGTTTTTTAGATTTTTTGCATCATTATTGGTATTTTTTGTTTTTTAATCAATTATTGAGAGAGCTATATTAAAATCTCCCACTGTCATTGTAGATTTTCAACTTCTTGGAGTTCTATAAATTTTTGTTTAAATATTTTGAAATTACATTATTAGGTTCATATGAATTTAAAATTGCTATAATACCTCTTTGTGAATTGAACCTTGTATTTGGGGCAATGATTAAAAACATTGCATAAGCTGCCAAAATTCTTGTTATTTGTCACAATACAATTAATCAAATACAGATGAATGTATCTGCATGCTTCACCCATCTCCCTTGGTCATTTTACTATCATTACATTTACTATGTGTAAACTTTTTTTTCTCTTTGGCATATAAGCAAGTGTTGGTTCACAAATCAGCAATGATCAATGTCCCTTACTCTATTATCTTAGAACCTAGACCACTGAGAGGGTCCAGCCCCAGCTCTGAATCCAATAAACCTTTGGCACCTACTGTAACTTCTCCTGGATTTTCTTGAAGTGATTCAACTGAGTTCTAGAGATGTCCCCCTCACCCCTACCCAATCAATATACATCAATTCTCAATGGACATGCTTTTTTGTAGATTTTCTTTTTTACTTACTCTTCTACTCATTCTCTCACCGAATATGTTTCCCTTAATCTTCTGCAATAGGCATTGGAGACATGAAAGAGAGCAGATGCAACAATCTCTGGTTCCCAGAGTCTCACAACAGTCCAGGGAAAAGAAAAAAGGTTAACAGATTACAGCTGTGGTAACTGCTACAATTGAAGAATCAAAAGGTACTAAGTTAGACAGAAGAGGAACATGTGCATGCGACTAAAGAACAGTAGAGTTTGGTAGGGGAGCAGGAGAAGGAAGGCACGAGGCAAACGATTTCCAGGCAGAGAGACTAGTTTGGGCATAATCTTGAGAAGAAAAAAGAAAATAAGGCTTTTCAGCCTTTGTAGAGAGTTCAGCATGGGAGAATGGCAGGCTTCATATATTACACGAGGAACTTAGAAATTACCCAGTAAGCAACATGGTGTCTTTGGGCAGGGAAGTGATATGATAACACTGGATTTTAGAAAGATCACTCTGAGCACACTGTGAAGGAAAGAATGGCCTATGGAACTGGGAGACAAGAGCCGGTATAAAGACCAGTTTAGAAGGTTATCATCATTGTCCCAAAGAAAAAGAGAAATGGTACGACTCTGAACTAAAAGGTGACAGCAGAAGAGGAAGGAGATTTGATAAACATCATGGCACCACAATGGGCAGGACCCACAACCCAAAAGTAGGGGTGTTGAGAGAAAGTCAAGTCAAGAATGATTCCTGGGAGAAGTAAGGAAGATAGGAAGTAAGTCTGTGTCAATGAAAATGAAGAGGAAGGAACTGATTTGAGAGAAATTAATGAAGCAGAAATGTTAGAACCAGCTGAATGACTAGCTTCAAGGCTGAGGAAGAAGGAAGAGAAAAGGACCCCTTTATTCTTGGCTCAGACTAATGGATGGGATCATTAATTAAAATAGGAAAAACAGGTGAAGTAGACTTTGAGGAAAAGCAAATGCATTAATTTTTCAGCACACTGGATTGGAGGTGCCTGAGAGCCTAGCAAGGAGTTTACAATTGGGAATAACAAGGATAGTGTGCCTGGCACTGTGATACTTGACATGCTTTATGACGTCTTATAACTCCAAGAGTTTTCCCAAGAAAACTAGACTACTTTGGGTTAAGGAGAAAATGCAGTGAAGTGGGAGAGTTCCAAAAAGCTGAGTTGTGAAAGGAATGAAGATTCAGGAGGTTGCTGAAGGGGTGTTAAGTTTGGGGAGTTTGTTTTGTTATAAAGATAGGAGTATTCTAAGCATTCTTACCAGCTGTCCATTAGTAAAAAGTGAAATTTACAAACAGCTCATTAAACACGGGTAAAAGATTAACACTAGACTTGGGAACATCTTAAATACAAAGGAATTTTTGCACACTGCCTCCACTCACCCCATCTTGAGCATTTAACCACCCCCATTAGGCTCTACGGGGCCTATACTATCAATTGGTGGATGCTCTCCTTGGGCTCTAGACACTAATCTTTCCTCAGTTCTTGAAACACAGGAAACTCTACCATCTCAAGGCTTGCTATCTCCTTTGTCTGGAAACTCATGCCTTAGCTTGCACATGGCTGGCTTCTCGTTCTTCAAAGCTGTTTTTTCAGACAGGAGTTCCCTTACCAATTTATCGAAGTCATACTCCTACCTTATTCTCTATCATAGTACTCTTATTTTTTCCTTCACAGTACTCAGTCCATTCTGTAACCACTTTATTTGCTCACATTTCACTGGCTGCCTCTTCCACTAGAATGTATGCATAATGATGGCAAAGATGTCTGGCTTGTTGGCTTCTATGTCTTCAGCCCTTAGAACAGTTCCTGGTAAGTAACATGTGTTCAAGAAATACTTGTTAAATGGACTATATAAGCCAATTTCTCCCACTATCCCCTTTCTCAGTTGGGATCACACTGGTTCTTAAATCCAAGCAAGGCCTTTTCTCACTGTGGACATGCCAGGGGTACAAAAAAAAAAGTATACAAGTGGACACTTTGGTCAATGTTGCTTAAGCAGAAGTTCGCCGTAATCAGAAGTGACTGGACGCTGATGGTAACCACTTTGAGCACCTCTTGTAATTGCAGAAGTCAAACATGATTTATATTCATCTTTCATTGTCAGAATATATTGAGTATTACAATTTTAATAGTTTTTTTCCTTTCTTAAAATGTGTATACATTTTTGGGGCACCCTCGGTATATAATCAAAAGAGCTAACGTGTATTGCACTTGTGTTAGATACCAGGCTCTATACTATACACTTTATTTGCATTTCACTTAATCTTCACAGTAATCCTGTCATATAGACAGGTAGGTGCTTCTAAAAAAAAATCTCCATTGTACAGGTGACGCAACAGATGAGGTTGTATAACTTGGCCAAGTGCACATAATTGGTGGAGCTGGGATCAGAATCTAGTTCTGACTTCAAAAACAAAACAAAGCCAGGCCACTACTCACTTCAAGTGAGGGCGCATACTCTAGTTTGGGAAATCCTGAGTTAGTTTTTCTTATATTCTGAGAGTACAATTGCTCTATCCAGGCCACCTCCTAATCCATAAATTCAAATTTCACTCCCTGTTCCCACTTGGGTTTCTGATGGCGTAAGGCGAGAGCCAGGAGCAGTGGAGAGCTGTCCCTGAACTTCCAACTCTCGGCTTCTCCCAAGGAAGATGCATGTGGGAAAAAAGACATCCAACAGTTAGTAACGTAAACCTCAGCACTGAAGAAGAGATAACCCAGGGCCTAACAAGCGACTGTCAGATTTTAGAGCTCAAGCCAATTCTCGAACCTCATCAGAGGCAAAAGCGCTTACCTTAACTGCCACCTCCGGAGCCGAGTCCACCGCCACTGACAGAGAAGGTTTGGCGGAAGGCGATTTAGTCAAGTGCATGAGGGAGTCGGCGGCTGGCAGCGGACACCGTCCGCCCTCACTGTCCGAGTCCGATTCCGACCCTGAACCCGAACCATAGGAAGCGGCCAGAGCCGCAATCGCAGCCGACATGACGGCAACAGAACTTCGGCCGAGACCAGGCCCCGGCGGAAGTACAAGCGGCTCCCAGGTCCTGACAGATTGCCATGGTACACATTATTTACTCCTTTTGCTAAGAAATCATTTATAACATTTTAAATAAATTATAACATTTAAATTATAACACTTTAAATAGATTAATAATAAGTACAATATAACTGAGAATTTGGAACACTTCTCTAGGGACACAGAAAGAATTATAATGGCTTATAACTTTCAGGACCTTTTGGCTAAATCAAAGACTACGAGTTCCTATGTACCTTGCGGCCTCGAGATCCTGCACTCCCCGCGAGCAGCGCGACGGAAAGTAGGAGAGGCACAATGGGAAATGTAGTTCGAAGAGAGGGGGCGGGGCGGGGCGGGGCGGGCTGGTATCTTTGACCCCGCCCCTAAGTTGATGGTTCATTCAATTGGCTACCATCTTCCCTCATTCCCTGGTTTAGCTCTGTTCTCTCCGTCCCCCTCCCCCAAACTGAGGATTGGGCCATACCATGAAACCTCAGGAAAGGGGGGGGGATGGTTGATATTCATCCCTGCTGATGAGTGAGTGGGCGGAGGCTGAGTTTCCCACCACCGCTGCACCTGGGCACTGGGGGCTGAAGAGGAAAGCTAGAATCTTAAGTGGGAAAATCCTAAGTGGCGGGGAATAGCTTCTGGTGGGAAAGATGGGAGGTTAGGTGGCGAGAGTCCAGCGGTCCCCCCTGTTTCAGGCGCGGATCCCCGCGCCCAGTTGTGGAGAGGAGCGCGCGGGGAGGGAGCGGGTGGGGGGCGGCGGCGGCGGCGGCTCGCGGTGTTGTTCGCTCGCGCGTCGAGCACACTGTGGGTCCGGCGACCGGCGGGAGCCGCAGGCGGCGTTCCCTGTGGCCCGGTCCTTCGGCCACTGTTCGGAGCGGGTTCCACCCGGGAGCTTACTCTCTTGGAGGCTCTACGTGGAGTCCTGGGAGCTGAGGGGAACCGGCGGCTGCCGCCGAAGCATGAAAAAGGGATAAGGCAAGAGACCCCCCAAGGTTTCACGGTGAGCGCGAGTCTCTCAGGAATTGTTTTTTTGGGGGGAGAGGGTGCTGGAGAGGAACTCTTCCTCACTGGCCAGAATGGAGAGTGGTGTGTGTGGAGCTTTAGCCCGGCAAAGGTTACGGGGATGGGCGCGCCTCCCCCGCGACGGCCCCCACCCCCATTCGCGGGTTCCCGAGCTCCCGCCGCCCTCCCGCCAGCCGGGCTGGGTGCCGAGGGAGACAGCGGCCGGCGGGCGCACAGGGGTCTCGGTTGCAGGGACCGCCCCGAGGCTGCTCTAGGTGGAGAGACTGCAGGTCTCACCTGAGGTGCCACCGCCTGAGCGCCCCTGCCCTGCACCCGCGGTGCGCCCCCGTGCCTCCTCGCTCTCGGGGAGGCTGCAGCACCGGGCGGCGGAGAAGCCCCTGCTCGCGCTACGTGCTCGGGGCTCGGTAAAGCAAGCCTATGCGTTTGCGTGTTTGCGCCGCGCTTCTGTGTCTAAAGACATAACGGTAAAGCGAGTGCGGGGATCCCTTTCTTCGCCTGACGAGGAGGCGAAGCTGGGCAGTCACCTCTGATGCCTGTTAATGGGGGTTGCCTCTGGCAGAGTTAGGGTAGCCGCTCACTGCGCTCCAGTTGTCGGTCGGACTCGCCCATTGTGCCACCCAGATAATTATTCAACTATGCAGCATCCATTGCACCTTTCCCATTTTTCTTTTCCCCTTGCTACAGCATGCCCCCTAGCTTCGGTACTCTGACGCCTTCTCTTGCACTTGCGGATGGGGAACTGGAATAGTGATGAAAAGAAAGCACATCTGACCTGAACATTCACAACCTGTCCTATAGCCGATTAATTAACGAATCCCCCCCCCCCCCAGCTAGACTAGGTACTTTAAAAGGACTTGGCCTAATCCTATCCTTTTCTATATAAGGCGTGCCTTCGATTATATTTTAATTTTTTCTTTGGTGTTACATTCACGTATTAGGCTGAGTCTTATTTCTGTCCAGTAATTGAGGTAATTGATTTATTGGTTAGTCAACCTGCCTGATGTTCTTAATAGTAATTTGTATGGTAGGTAACTTTCATTTTTCTAATGTTGATAGCACTATATCATAATTACAAATGCAGCTTCAGTCTTTGAACTCTCAGGAACAGTTTTTCTCATGCTCTAAGTTTGTTAGGAAAAGTATTTTTTAATGTCGACTATTTGAATAAAGTACGTGATAAAATTTCTCAAGTTTTGCATAAGAAAAGTTTTGTATTTCTTTATTTTCAGTAACAGAATACTTGATTGCTAATCATAAACTTCAGTTGAATGAAAGGAAGCATTTAATATTTAAGATGGGGTTTAACTACCATAATGAGCATCCCCTAAGTTATCTAAATTTTATTTTTTATTCTTTTCTTTGCAATATCATGTATTTAATTGCTTGTTATAGAATTTTTTTTATCATTTTTCTAACTTCTGTCTACAGGATGGGTAGACTCCCAATTTTGCATGATCCACCTGAAAGATGAAATATTTTTTGAAAATGGAAGAAACAACTGTTGGTTACTTGATAGTATGTTAAAATACTATCTCATTATTTTAAAATAAGTGATTCACTACCAAAAATAAGTGTTTTCTTTTTGTTTTTGTAATTCTCCCTTTCCAGCTTTTCTTGCTTAAGCTTGTTGCCATAACCCTCTTGATAAAACGGAATTGCACATAGGCATTGCAGAGACAGTTGTTTTAAGGTACAGTAATTGTTTTATGACACTTGGAAGTGGCGCACACATAATATAATTCGATGGTGTAAGATCAGTTGCTTGGTTAGGAAATGACCTTGCAATTTACAAAATGGACACCTTTGTGCCTTGGTTTCCTTATATGTAAATTGAGATAAAAATACCTTTATTCGATAAGTAGTATGCATAAATTCAGTAAAGATGTTTGCATAATGCTTTTAAAGAAAATTTAAATGTTTTAGCTGATGAATGATGCCATATATATTTCGGTGTAAAATAAAATGAAAAAATGCCATTGGGGTTTTCTGTGACATGTTAGAATAGCTGATATACATTGGATTTTGCTTTGGAAAAGTATGGTTTTAAATTGAAATTGTTTCCCATCCATCAAGGGTTTTTAATCATTGCAAATTCAATAGGTATTATAGTTAATATCTATATGTACTTATAAATATAGGTATAGTTAACATTGATGGAAAAAGTTATATGACTTAGTAATAAGCAAGTAGAATATTGAATTAAGTTTGCGAAAAATAACATCTCCAGAAAACATTAAGGCGTTTTTCACTGAAAAACTTGCAGCTGACACAATCCGAAATACATAGTTGTGATCATTTGTAGGTATGATATGGAGCTACTTTATTTTTCAAGTTTGTAAATAACCATATAGTCAGAGACAATGTATGAATGTTGTGTAATACTTAATTGTACATTTTGCTTTACTTTCAGAATAGTCATGTATGATTTCCAAGTACTTGATTTTCATTATCACAGTAGATAGTAGCTTTTGATTCCTTATTGAAGGATTAACTCAGTTAATTTTCATAGCAAAAACTATTAAAATATTAATATTATTAGAACTTTTACCAAAAACTGCTTTTGGTTACTTTTTGGGGACACTTCATATAGATGATTAGACTATTCAGTGTGTTTAAGATTACTATTGTATAGTTCCCTTTGAGAATCAATTTGGTTAAAATTTTTTTTTTAACAAGAGAACAAATCTATTTTATTTACTTCTCAGTAAATTTAAATCCTTGAGGGGTACAGCATAACACGGATTCTGTGTCCTATGGCCTTGGCAGGAAGGTTGCCTCGGAATTTGGCACGAACCATGGCACTGTTTCCATGAGCACGCGTTACCTTTCCCCAGATTACTCTGGTTTTGTTTGGTTTGCCACCAGGAGTCACTGTGTTGTTCTTTGCCTTTACACATAAGCACATCTCTTGCTTAGATAGAACTCAGTTTCATCTTGAGCATAAACACCTTCAATTTTAAGAAGAGCTGTGTGCTCTTGCTAGTTCCGGAGACCCCGCTTATAGCCAGCAAAAATGGCTTTGGACCACAGCCTTCCAGACATATTTGTTGTTTTGGAAGTCCTGTTCCCAGCAGGCCTCCACAGGCCCCAAGATGGCGGAAAAAGCCAATTTGGTTAAATTTTAAATGTTTTAAATGACCAAAATTCAACTGTTATTATTACTTGGGTAAATACAGTTAACTCAAGATTTTTCTAAGCTCTTGGAAGACGGACTGACCGAATGCTTACTGTCATAAATCCAAAGTTGTTAGGAAATAGTAGGGGCTCTTTTTTTGTTGTTGGACAAATAAAATGAATGAGTGAAAATTATCCATTCATTTAATGTACTGAGTAGAAATTTAAAAACATTTATCAAACATGAATTTTAATTCATGAAACATAACTTTATCTCAAGAGAAAAGACAAAAATATATTTTGAGAGTCTTTGAATTTCATTTACCTGTTCAGATATAATTCCTTTACCCATATATTTTTGAACTAGCATTAGTTATTGCATAAGGTATACACTGTTAACCTTTTGTTTATGAAATGGTAATTTTCTTCTTACCTATTACACTTCACGAAAATGTACATTAAAGGTTTTCTTTGTTTTTCCTAAATTAGATGAATATAGAAATATGTTTAATTCTTTTTGACTAAGGCTTTCCAGTGAAATATTAATAAAAAGATGTATGTAAATTATATCCTGTGCTAAACGTGCCCGAAATACCTAACTTTAAAAATAAATGGCCCCTGAGGTGGAGCTTTTAATAAAATGAAGCTTTTTATGAAATGTTTTTAGTTATCACATTTAACTTATAATTTTGAGCTTCGTGTATTGTTAATTACTTAGAATGAGATTGATTATACTTTAAAACTTATAAAATGGTTTAGAGCTTGGAACTTACTTTCTCAGAAACAAGATGGTTAGTGTTTAGATTCACAGACAGCCCACCAAATTTAACCCGTAATTTACTTGAATTAGAGGATTAGGCTAACTAATAATACTAGAGAATTTTAAAATTATATTAATAATATTGGGTTGTTGGAAAAGTCATGACATATTTTTTCTGTTTTTTATCGCAAAAATGCGTCATGACTTTTCCAACAACCCAATAACTTATAAATATATTGAAAATATCTGTAATACTGTGTACAACAATATTTCTATGAAAAATCAATTTAGAATGTACCTTGAAAAGCTAGGAGTACATATCTCTTGTGTTAGACATGGCAACATTATTAGGAACTTGTCCTCTGACACCCACTAGACAGGAAGAGGATCTTCCTTGAGTGATGCAGCCTTCCAACATCCGGGGCAAAGGTCAGAATAAGAGAAATTGGAAGGAGCTAGGGTCTTCTTTGTGATGTTGGACAAGTCATTTTACCTGTTAAGCAAGGGTTTTGGTTTTCTCAGTGAGAATGTTGAAGTAGATGACCTCTGTGGTTCCTTTCACTTACAAGTGAAATTCAAAGGCACTTAGAAGCTCAGTGTAACTTTTTCTGAGAGTTCATTTTCCCTTTCTAGTATTACATATACTTCCTGTCAGGGTATTTCTCCTTTCTGGATATACCTCTGAAAAGATTATAGTCTTAATCTTCTCACTTGCCTATTCTTGGAAGCTAGACCTTTTAGGTTTTTAAAGGAGTGTTTTTGTTATGGCAGTTGTTTCCCCCTCCCCCTCCCC